AAGATAATGCGAAGAAGCATCTTCCATTTCATACACTGCCTGTCACCATTTTGCTTGTCATGACTGTGCTAGCAGACGTCCATCGTCTCAATCTGGTGAATATGAATGCGGAAGCCTGATGTAGGTACAGTCTGGATAAAAACGCCGTGCCACAGAAAATCTGTAGCTAGCGACGAAGACAGTGTTTATCTGTGTAAGTGGGATATGTCTGTAGCTTTTCTTTAAGTAGGTCATGATTTAAAGTACTTATGGAGAAGAGGCGAGGATAAATATTTCTTGTAAGTATCCATTATTGATCATATTCTTTATTGAGTTGAAGTGTGGTTAGGGTTCTGTCTGATGCTTTGTTAGCTACTAGACAATAATGAGTATATTCTTTATTTTACAGAAACTTTTGGAGCTCAAAGTGCATGAGAATAATCTGAAGATACCTGCATATGTAAACTCTATACAAATGCATATGGAAAATCAGCACTAATTTCACAAATTCTGAAAGTGTATAAAAATGTAAAATAGTTTTTGACACGCTGCCTCTTAGAATAGTAGGCTAACTTCTGCCTGTGGCAGTTTGAACAGCTGGAACTGAATCTTCTTTTATTCAGTTTTGCTGCACTGTTCTTTTTCTGTCTTAATCTTTTTTATTGTGACTTGTTCAGTAATTTTAAAAATTTGTTCAAAATTGTAGTTTTAAATAAAGTTTGGACTTGTCTGTAAATTCGTCTTTTGGAAAAATTTCCTCAGGCTTATAAATGATATGAGGAGTTGGTGGAAGCTAACTGACCTAAGTGTTGGTGTGTTTATAGTTTGCTGGTCCTGTTCAGAGAAACACTGTTAGTTTTTCTGTGAGAAGAAACTCTTGTCTCACAGTTTCTCAGTCTTCTACAAGTGTGACATGCAAAAGTCTGTATCTCCTCCTTGCCTTATAGCCTAAGTATAGCTGGCCTGTAAAAATTACTCTCGTTCATGGCCTGTGGAATTAATATCTGTCAGCACATTTGTCGGAGGTGAAGTAGATACCCTGTTTTGTTGTTAATTGCAGAAAACATCTATTTTTTTATATTACTATTTCCAGTTCTTTATTATTTTCTTTTCAGTATGAAACAGGATAAACTTGGCTGAAAATTTTAATATCCTTTCACATGTGGCACTTAAAATTGCTGTAAGTGAATACCTGTAGAATTTTTTCTTTAAGTATTTAACTTTGTAAATGGTTTTGGTTGTAAAAAGGAAGATGTATAGAAAATTACTATTAAAGTTACCGTGTATTTAAAAAAAATTAATAACAAAAAAAGAGTTTAAGTTGGCACCTAATACAGTCATGGCAAAGGCAGAAATAGGGTTATAGAAAAGTAGATTGAAAACTACATCAGAATAAAAATTTTATTTGCTATTTATTCCTAGTAAGAGGAAGTCATAAAGCTGAGCTAGAAATAGTATATCCAGTGTATCTACTGGCAGTGTAGTGATCCAGTTCGCCATTTGTTAGGACAAGACTGTTTTCAAGGCAGTCAAGAAAGTAATGATTACCTTAAGTTCAGAATTTGCTTCCTTTTTGGTTAGTATTCAGTATGGCTATACTGTATGGGAGACATTTTAGTAGTAGTGAAGGTTCAATATACGCAAAGTAGAATGAAGTTTGAATAAAATGAGTGTGATTCTACTGTGATTTCCCTTTTTATTATTTTTTGATTCTGAGCCTCAGCTTTTATGAATGGATTTTTAAGTGGCAGATCAGAGATAAGAGGTGATTGTAAAAGCAAAATTATACATATTAAAAGGTTTAAAGACAATTTAGTTACCATGCAGGCTTTAAAGTGACTGTGATGCTGCATGTAGAGGACAAGGGAAGTACAGTCACATAGCAAGCTAGTGAAAATGAAACAAAATGAAAGCTTTTAATCACTAAACGAACACCAGAATCGGTAAACCTAAAAAAGGCCATAATCTTATTTTGGCAAAATATTGTTTACACATTAAATGTTAAGCTCAGGAAACATCATGAGCACAAACCATTCCAAGGTGAGCATTCAATAGTGCTATGAATAATGCATTTTGATGGATTTGCCCTGTTCTGGTGATGAAATTTTGAGCAAAACCTGTGATTGGATTCTGTGGAGATAATCAACACTTACTGAGACGAAGGGGTAGTACAGGTAGGCCACTGCCTTTGCTTTGATGAGGGATCAAATTGCAATTGAGAAAGTGTGCATAAAATCCATTGTGACTTCAGAATATGAGGCAATGCTTGGCAGCATTAGATAAAATTGCAATTACAATTGATGTTGAAGCAGAAAATTATCCTGCAGGAAGGGTGGTCAACTATAATAGATGTCAAAACTAAGGAGGGATGTCTAGATGTACAGATGGATTGGTTTAATGTAATTTTGAATGAGAAAAAATAAAGAGTAGTGCTTACCGTAAATACATTCAGCACTAACAGTGTATGCTCATAGAGAAGGAACACAGATCTCCTTGTCACACCAGCAGGAATGATACCACTGCTGCATGTGGGCATAGCAGGGAACAATCTTTCATGGTGTTAAAAATAAAAGACCTTGTACTCAAGATAGCTCCTTGTAGGCAGTCTTGCTCTAACAGCTTCAGAAGCAATAAAAAAAGCTGATAGTGCACAGTGTAGGTGAAGCCTTTAGCTGCAACTTCAGGATTGAATGTTCTGTTTCAAAATCCATGGAAGAAAATGAGGAATTGTTTTTAATCGTGAAAATGAAGTTGATAATAGTGATAAGCATCAGGAAGATGATGTGTTGAGGGGAAGAAAATGGCAATAGTAACCAACCATAAAAAATATTAGTGAAAAGTTCTTCTCTTTATTGTATGCTGATTAGAGATGTGAGAGTGACTTCTGTATAGCTTTGCCAGAGTCAATTGTATTGTTGTGTTTGCTCTGTGAGTTGTAATTGCTTAAGGAAATCTTGGTTACAAAATCTTAATTTGAAGTACAAAGTATTCGATGGCAGACTTCTACATAGAGGCAGCATTTTTTGTCTTAGTTTTTGCCAGTAATTTGATAGGGTTGAGAGTTTAAGGGTTTTTGTTGTTGATTAAAGTAGCCTAATAAGAATTGAAACTGCCCTTGTAATTGTGTTCCAGTTCAGAGCACTAGTACTGTAATGCATAGGCTGTACCTCAGGCTAACTGCCCCAGTTAATGAGACACATGAGACAGGAGAAAGAATTGACACTCACTGTTTTCAAACAAGAAACTCTTGTCATAGAGTAACTCGTCCACTATTGAAAGTTTTCTTCAATAGTGGATGAGTTACTCTGTTACAAGTGAAGCCTCTGCCATTCTTCTACCTCTGACACTGTAAGTTAAATTCTCTTCATACTAATCCATCTACTTTTGATATTCCTTTGTTCACACTTTCTCTCTTCACAGAATCCTAGAATAAACAAGGTTAGAAGGTAGCTTTGGAGATGACTTTGTCCAACCCTTTTGCTTAAGCAGGGCCACCTGGAGCCTCTTGCACAGGACCTCATGCAGCCAACTTTGAAGTCTACAATGCAAGAGACATTACAACCTATAGGGAACCAGCACTCAGTCATCATCAGAGTGAGGAAGTATTTTCTGATGTTCGAACAGGTTCCTCTCTTGGAAGTTTGTACTCTCATATTCTACTTTAATTATTCCTTGCTAAAATAGTATATTTGCCAAAGAAATTAAGCGGTATCTTACACTCTGATACCAATGCTTCTACTCTTCTGTAGTACCAGTCAAGTAGAATGTCTTTCTTTCCAGTAGTATTAGAATCTCACTTAAAATGGGTGCAGAAGAGTATGAATGGAAATTTCAGCTTGATAAACTGCTTGCATAGCAATCTGGACCAAATGAATATTACAGTACATTATCTATTTTAGGCATCTTGGGGGAGAAAAAAAAAAAGTGTGAAAGGCAACTGTTGGGGCTAAATGGCTGTCTTGCAGCTCCTGACTGCTGTACAGCCTTCTCTAAGGAAATAACATTGAAATGGGAACAGACATTTTTTGAAACTGTTCCCAATTCTGAATTTCATTGTGCTGTTATCCCCTTAGGAATAGCTGTATGGAACAATAAGTGAAAAGCATTTTTAGGTTTTTTTTTTTTTCATTTTGTAACTTTTAAGATGAAAGTTAACATACAGAACTGATTTTTCTTCTATTGCTAACAAAATTTAGTAGCAGCTCTTTGAACTGAGAGATATTACTACTGCATAGAGAATGGCTTGCAAGCCAATATTTAGGAGAATGTACTGATACAGAGTGAAACCAAACCCTATTAGAATTTGATTCACTTCTGCAAATTCTAGGAGGAAGGTACTGTACAATCAATAGGTGTACAGAGGTTAGGCTAAGTAGGATTATCACAGTGGTAAGATAATAAATGAAAAATGCTCACTAATGTTGTAGGCTCACTATAAACTCCATGAGGAGCAATCTCCAGAAAGAGATCCTTCCTCAGTGGCAGTCAGCACTTAAATGAGATCTAGGAAAGACGGAGCCAGACTCCACGCCTTCCATCACACAGGTGAATTGCCTTCACCTGTGCTCCCGTAGCTGACTCATTGCTTGCCACAGGTGGTCAGTCAGAGGTTCAGGCTGTGATCAGTTGTTCCCATACAGGTACAATGACTGATTTTTTTTTTTTTTTAAATAGATTACAACAATGCTTTTGAAACTTTATTTTAATCAGATCACAATATTCAGTTGCATTTTGGAATTATTTATGCTCCAAAATTACTGATTAAAGCATTCACAAAAAGTCTAAGCACTGAAACAACAGAAAACCCGTAGTAACTTTGGGCTCTTTTTCTGCAGTGCTAGTGTTTTGAACTGTAGCTCCTACAGGTGATATTTCTTGCTAACAAAAGGCATTCAAACAAAGCATAATTCATCTGTTATGAATTTAAGATCCTGAGTTAAATGATCAAGCTAACTTTGTCTTAATCCAAAAGAAAACTTTACCCATTCTATACATTCTATGTATATTCAGTGCAATAGTATTTACTCAAACACAGACTGGAACATTTCTTGTACAACTTTTATATAAGCTTCTCTCTCTTCATTTGTCATGAGAGACACAAGCTCTGGATTTTCACTAATTTCACCATATGAGTAAGGCTGAGCAGCTACCATTAAAATAGGATCTAGTGATTCTTGCTCTTCCTCTTGTTCAAACTGGCTGCCTGCTAATTTTGTTGTTGTACTTGAGTGTTTGGCATTTTCAGACTCACTGTCACTGCCTGATTCAGATAACTTGCTTTTGACAGCAGGAGCATAGTCAGTGCTGGACAATGACTTCATGGATTCATGGATGAGAAGAGTCTTGATGATTTCATTCTCGCTGACAGTTTCTTTAACAGTTTCTTCAGCTTCTTCAGAAGCATTTGTTCCTAACACACGATACGTTAGAGCTATGAATACTTTTAGTTACCAGATACTATGTAAATGAAATATTTTTTCCTACTTTGTTTAGCATTCTCTAAAATGCAGGCATTTTGAAGAACTTTCTGCTTAGAAGTAATACCAGTGGTGCCTGGCTAGAGTGAGAACATTTCAGGACATGGTACTTAACTTCTGGCTTTAGGATTATTATCTAAGCCACTCTAAAGAATAGTTTTCAGAAACTAAGTTTTGATAGATAGTCACTAGACCAGAATTGGAGGGCTATTGTATATTATGAACCAATTTCACATCATTTTCTAGGAAAACTACATTTAATTGAAATAAAGCTGCTGAACTATTTGTCAGTGCCCAAAACTTACCAGCATTATTGATGGTAGCTGTTGTTGCTCCTTCCACAGTGCTCTCTGACATCCAGATAGGTTGCTCTTTAGTTGCTTTTTCTTTCTTTTTCTTCTTGCACTCAGAATCTTGGACATCAATAATTAAGTTTTGACTATATGTATTGCCAAAAGAGGAATTTTTGGTGGCCCATTTTTCAGGTCTACTGCAGGGTTCCGGCGTGCTTGAACATACCTTCTGGTCAAAGCTAAATGAAATGTCATCCATTTTGGACTGATGAAATACAAGCAAGACCCTCACTTCCCATTCAAACCACCACCACCACTACCACCACCACCACCACCACCAACAACAAAAAAAACAATAAAAAACCCCACCAAGAATGAAGCTTATTAGTTGCCTAGCTTTAACAGGTTCTCTCTAGTTCTAAATAATTTTCATTGCCCCCTACTTCATAATAGAGGCAAGTGATTCCGAACCACTGATTTTTTTGCATGATTTCTGTAGTAATGCATTTCTAGATAAAGGATACCCATAGAGTAACATTACTTTATCACAGAAAAGGCTGTGAACTGTATTCACCAAAGGAGAAGTCTAGAATATAACTCCTTAAATAATGTAACAAAAATAAAGCTGTAAATTTATAACAATTTAGATGCCGTAGATAATAACTGGCTTCTTCAGTAAGGAGTTTCCCATTATGTACAGTCAAATAAAGCAGGCCTTTAGATTAGGTATTTCAAAGATGGTACAACTGGAAAGTTGTTGGAGAGGCTGTATTATTAGGAGATAGGAGAGTTATACTTATACCTTTCTGATATGCCTGGGATTGCTGTTGGCTGAGGTTCCAACAAGTCATATGGCAGAACAGTATCTTCTGTCTCACGCAGTAGCACGAAGATAGGTTCCATCTGCTCATTGAATTTTGCTAGCAAGGTTCGAGCATCTCGCTTAGGCAGTGCTGAGGCATCTTCCTCTACTTCAGTATTGCAGTAAGTACAACGGAAAGTCTCTGCAACGTTATCAAAATTGAAAAAAATCTCATGTTCATAGAATACAAAAGATAAACAGTAACTTGTTGAGAAGTCCTACCTGGACAGTTTCCAAAATACTCTAAACTTTACTAGAGTTTTTGCATTTGTTCATTTCATCCAAAGGAATTCAAAGTCTAGCTTTTTTTTAGGGGGGAAGGGAGGTGGTGGTGTGTGGAGGCATAAGGGGGGGGGAGGAGAAAGACTGTATTCTCATGTTAGTTGTACAAGAAAGAAGTACCCGTGCTGGGGGGAAAATTTAGGTTGGTTAGACTTTAGACTTGCAGTAGCATTAGATACTAAGGTGGTTTTTTTTCCTTATTTTATGATCTTTTTCTAACTTCACAAACATATGAAAAGACATTTGCAAGCATAAAGAGCATCTGCTGGTTTTAGTTTGAAGTTCCACAGTTCAAAAAAGACTTCATTAAAACATATACTAAGTCCTACATTTGTGTCTAAATGAAATAATCACCAGCCTTCATCTTTGCATTTCAGTAGCACATCAGTGTCTCTAGGATGAGAACAAAGCGATAATTTGCCAAATGACAGCATGCTAACTTCACCTTTGAAATTTCAAGTTAATCGCTGTAAAGTATGGGTCATTCTCACTGGCTTTGGCATCCGTTCAAGGTGCCATGACCCACATGTTAGCATCATAGCTGCATTTAGAGTAATATATTGCAATAGAATTCCGTTTTGCCTCCTTTTGAACAAGTGCTCTCTAGTTATTTTGATTTTAAGGAGGAGAAACCCCGGACTCTGATGCCACTTCTGCTATGGATGTGTTATGTTGCCCTGTGAGGAGCCTGAACTTCTCTGTTTCCAGTACAGGACTGAAAGAACACCTCTCCTCTGCTGACAGTCTTTGTTGTGGTTATTACAGTTGGTGGCTGCAAACTGCTTTATCCATCTTTATCCATCCAACTCTTCCATCAGAAACATCAAAGACACAAAGATTAACTTAAATTCAGAGTAGAGTAACATAAATATGTATTCATTTCCATATGAGAAAATGCAACTAAAGACAGATGAGTAGTCTTAACCCAGGTAGAGTGTCTAATTCCTAGCAAGGTGAAGCCTAAATCTGGTTCCCAACTCTGGCTCTTACACTCAATATTATTTTCTCTCGTTGGGCCTATTCTACAAAGAGCTTTTCCTTTTACCCTCATTCCCCAGCTTTTTTTCCTGTCCTCAGCTCTTTGCCCATCAGTAAACAAGAAGTAAATCCTAACAAATACACCTTCCTTGCAAAGCTCCCAAAAGAGCCAATTTAATGTTATCACAGTTATTCTTCAAGATAAAAACCAAATAAACAATTACACACACCTGTAAATACATCAAAGAGTTGATTGACCTCCAGGTCTGTGTATGTGCTAGAACAAGATGGACATTTAAACGAGGACCTGGTAGTTGAATCCCGCTCATCTGCTTCTATCTTCCGCCGCACATGGTCCAGTTTGTACTTTATCACATCCACCAGCACCTTATAATTGATGTAATAGTAGTTGTGTCTTGTGCTCTTCCCATTAGGCCCTGTTTCAACTCGCATACGCAGCTTCACAAACTTGTCTGCCTTGAGTGTGTTGAGAACAGTGCGCAGCTGTTTGCGTTCATACTTGAGCAGCTGTAACAAGTCATCCTCTTTCACACAGGGGTAGCGGGTCAGTACATCCACGGCCAGGGAGTATTCTACTCCATAGAAACCCCTCACTATGTATTTGGCCAGGCGCTTTAGGGCTGCTGGGACTTCTGTGGTAACGTTTTGCTCTTCCATCATGAGTTGAACCGCTGTCAGAGAAAGAAGTGTTGCACAGCAAGTTATGGTAAGCCTTTTTGTTCACTGTCATTTGCTCTTCTGCAAGTCTTCACTGAATAAATTAATATAAAATCCTTAATCTGCACCTATGGATGGGGTGGTACCAATAGACAAAGATCAGGTATTCAGGTACAGCAGTTACAACTGTAGTATTCATATATTCTGTGAGTTTTTACACAAGAGGACATCTAGAAAAATAGGTACAGAAGACAGTATTTTCATGTCTAGGCATGCCTGAAGTACTCATTTTCACTCATAGCCAGCCATAAAAATGACAGCTCAGGATGCAAGCCAAGTGGAAAATCTATAGTTTAATTCATAACAACATAAAATAGATGTGGTTCTACCTTCCTGTGTGACAAAGCTGCAATGGATATTTGAGTACCTTAGTGTGCTGCTTATTATGTTGTTGGTTTGGTTTTTTTGTTTGTTTTTTTCCCTTGCTGGTTGTGAGGGTCACGCAAAGGCCTAGAAAAAGGATGTTCCATCTTGCCTGGCACTGCCCTCACGCAGCACAGCATTAGGGCCAAGCCTACTAGATCCAGTGCATCAGAAGGTGGGTGGGGGTGGGACAGCACATTATGGCACGTAGTAAGTTGCCAGAACTTGCATTGACATCCGCTTCTGAGGGGCACCTTGCTCAATCACAGGTGATTGTGCATCACTACATAGAGCTTGCAGTTACTCTTCAACAGAAATCATAGTTAAAAAAAAAAAAAAAAGCTATAATTAAATTTACATCTCATAGGGAAAGCACTGTCTTGTCACTAAATTAAGTATAATCCTGGTGGTCTAAGGCTAGAAACCCAGAAAGAAATGGCACTACCCTGACCTAAATCTCCCACAGGAAGAACAGGGAGCACTGCATTAAGCTGTTCAGGGAGGATACTGAATATCTGGGCTTCGACAGGCCTGAGAACCCTGACCTGGCTTTGCGGTTTAATGAAACATGAGTAGAGGTTGGACCAGATGGTCTCCAGAGGTCTCATCCAACTTAAATTATTTTGGTGTGTTCCAGAAGAATTAAGCTGAATCCTAGTAAGGAAACTAAGGTCAGTTCCACCAACGGTCCACAGACTGTAGAACAGTGTTTCTAAGATTTTTCATGAAAACCTCAAGGAAGGAACAACTTTTTGTTTTTTTCCTCCTCTCTAGTTATACTTTCCCTTCTTCTTTGTCCTCATCCTCTGAAAAGTTTCAGCCAAACCATCCATCTGACTCAATGTAGCTGATAGGACTGGACAGATAAACCCTTTCCCAGATAGGAAAGCACAGGTCCTTGAACTTTTGTTGAACTGAGTCTCCCAGAACTAAATCCAATTCTAGCTGCCAGTCAAGCCTTAACATAACACCATCTTTGTACATGTGTGCAGGTGTCTGCGCTGGGGCAGGAATAGCTTCTAGCCAAGTACCTGGACTGTAATTCCATCTCCACTCCTATCCTTGGAAAACTCAAGTCACTGCTTCATTTAGAAAACATACAGGCCTGAGTACAGCACCTGTCTACAAGCCACTCGATCAGCTGCACACAGCTGGCAATTTCCATTTCACCACCTGCAGCAAGGTCTCTTTGCTCTTACAGCTGAGTAGGCTTTCTTGTTTTCCTTTTGAAGTCAGGATAAATGTATGCAGAAGAAATAATCTTCGTATAAAGTATAGCTGAGAAGCTGCAAACAGCACAGAAGTGGCTAGAGTACCAGACAGCTTAGATTTGCTGATTTGCTGGACTCCCACGTCTGCTCTCTGGTGTTAAAACTCTTCAAGTGCTTGAGCAGAAAATGATTTCTGGAGTACAGAAGAACAGATTTTTTCCACTAAAGAATATGCTAACTTATGCTGATGATTTATCTCTCTCTCTTTCTGACCTCAGATTTGGAATTTGTTTCTGTGCAGTGGCTTCTATTCAACAGGATGGAGGGACAGTGTCCCAACATCAACTTCAAAGATCAGGAATGTGACTTTGAGCATCCTTGGGTTCTGGAGAGCACTGAGCCTTGTCCTTGCTGGCTAACACACTGACAGGAGGCACTGGGACCTTCACTATGCTCCCTACAGAAAGGGGTCATCAGGTATTTTTGTAATAAGGACCAGCCACAGCAAAGAGTGGAAGTGCAGCCTCAGCAACTGATTGGGATCTGGTACCACTCCTACCGTGCCCTGCAGAGGCATTAGTGTGGGCTAGTATCTCAGAACAGGCTAAGATACACTCTGTGTGGATTATTTATTTTAAAAATGCCAATTAGACTGTGTTGCTTTAAAAGATTAGTCAAGAAGTAGATAATGTGGTTTTGTTAATGTGGGGCAGAACCATGACACTTCTTTTACAAGCAGGTCTCACAACAGTTTTTTCTGACCTAAAGTCAAATATATATACATATTTTTTAAAAAATATATAATAATATATAAAATAATAAAAATATATAAAATATATTAAATAAAATATATAAAGTAATTTCCAAAGGAACAGGATAAGGCGATAACCTCATTAGAGAATATGTTGGACCTAAGCTGTAAACCTGGGGTTTGCTGGCCTATGAATTCTTATGATTCCTCATCCCAGACCTGCATTATGTACTTGCAGAGATTTGAATTGCACCGAAGTGTTTCCAAACACCTTAATGTTAATAACACTTCAAGTCCAGATTCTTACAACCACAAAAACTATTAAAAAAAAAAATGAAAAGGAAAAAAGCCACCATTTCCAACACGCCCAACACCAAACCAGCCAAGCCAAAAAAACTCAGCACTTCCACAACAACAGCCATTGTCCATCACCTGTAATATAAATACTGTGAATATATTCTGCAAAAATACTGATAAGAAAACACCACCACCACCAACCACCACATACACATAGTATCAATTTGCAGTAGAAATACAGGTATTCAAGCTTTTGGTCAAACATAGAAAGCAATGGCTTTCTTTTTACAAGAATAGCTGAATTTCCACAGAATAAATAGCAGGCATGGAAAATACAAACGCAGCATTCTTTCCATCTCTTTGCTACATCTGAGGTGATGTTCTCCAGTCCCTATTGATAAACTTCCTCGCCTTCCAATTGCCTAGAGGCTCACAGTTCAGGAGAAACTGTTGGTTAAGAGCTGCTGTCTGCAGGCAGCAGATCTCCATTAAGAAGAAACTGAGATGACCCTTATCAAGGAAAGGAGAAGAAAGTGGAGCAGCTTTGCTGCAGAGATAGAAGGGCTTCAAGCAGGAATCTGCTCCAGAGCTGAGCTGCAGTCACACTCCAATAAGAGACAGGTATTTTGCTACTTGTATGGATCATTGGGAAGTAGCTTTTTTCAGTTGGTAGCACATATTGACAGATACCTTTGAAATCATGGCCTAATTTCTACTGTTAAGTGCTTTTGAAGCACTTTTATGAGGGTGGGATTTATTTTTTTTGACCTCTGTTATTTTAGATGCTGGAGCAGCTCTTCAGTTTGTGATTTACTTGGAGCTATTATAGCTTCAGAAGAGAAAATACACCGCTTTGTTTTTGCCATAAGCAAGAATAGGAACTATCTTTCAGACCATCCTTTGTTTTGGGAAACCTGCACAGAATTGCTTACTGTATTAACAAGCAGCTATCAAAAGTAGCATTTCAAGTTCACAGACATCACATAGAGCAGGTTGTACAAGGCTGATCTACAGCCACTTGCTTAGTTAACCTTCTATTTGAAACTGTCTGAGCAGATAAGCTACACGCTTTAATTTTTTTTAATTAGACTTTACTTCAAAAGCTCTATAGAAGAAAAATTTATTAAAGTAGTCTTTTGTTAAAATTAATATAATCACGTTATTTGTAACTAAGTTAAAAACTTTTATCATTACCTCCATTATATATGCAGAAATCTCCAGACTGCTGCTATACAACAATCACCCATTTCCTAAGAGCTCAAAGTAACTGCAAAACGAGCTTAAGTATTTCCCAGCTTTTTCCTACACCCATCTGTGATCAGCCCCAATTATCACCCAGGTGGAGCAAGAGTCCCCAGATCACATTTCATTAGGAACTGAATGAATTCACTCTCGTACACGTTGCATCATGATATAGTTACAAATCTGATTGCTCAATGCTACATACCTACAACAGATCAGGACCAAAGTTTTAAGTGACTGCAATCTGTGTTTTCATTAGCATGACTTTACAAGACTACAGGTAACATGATAATTAACTCATTTTTTTGTTGCAAAACAAAAACATAGCCTGGGTAATTTACATAATTTGTGTTTAGGAGCTTTCATTGAAAATATTCAGAAAAAAATAGCATACATATATTTAGTTTTTGTGTTTTTGGCATGTTCTATTTTAGGTGGCTTCTGTCTTCAAAGGAAATGAAAAATATTTTTTCACTGTATTTTTTCTCAGAAGATGAAGTTATACTTTTATTTCCTTCTATGGGTGAGAAAACCACGTTTAAAACAAACACTAAACTGAGGCTGCCAGACACACTTAGGACTGTAATCATCAATTTGATCTCCAGTCTGTCCATCATGTATGTGTGCAGTGGAGGTTGGAACCTTGTGGTAATTAATGTGTGGTATTGTGTGTTAAATTTAAAATGTTGCACAGAACAGTTGAGCAGGTATATATTTTTTCATACTGTGCTTCTTGAGCACACTCCTTTGCTATGATGTTCCATTAGAACATGCAGAGGTGCAAGACTGCATGCTGGTACTTGTGTTTTGTCTGTGGGAAAGGTTTAGAATGAGTAATCCCTGTGGGTTTCCTTGCTAAGTGTTTTCAACAGGGAAAGTGCTCTGTAACCTCAGAGTTTCATTCATGTGGCTGTCCTCAGCCTGTGTGTGGTGTGGAAACATGGCACGAAGACATAAAATAGCTTTCTAAATTCAGCAGTGCCATGGTTTAGCTGGGAGTACTGCTCTCAGAAACAGGAAATCACAAGCACCTGGGCATGCTATAGCTGATAAGGATGGCTTGCTGAGTAAGGACATCAGCCTGCATGTAGTAGAGGTAAGTGTACACAGCAGGGGTACTGCTCAGCCCTGTGCCTGCATGGGTGGCGGTGTTCTGTGTGGGCTTTTGCTATGTTCCCTGTTGCATGCACACTCAGAGAAGAAGCAAACATTGTAAGTAAGGTAGTAATAAAAAAATGTGGTTTGAGTGTTTCTGAGTGCCTGTAGTTCTGGCACTGAGGACCGTGGGAAGCAGGATTTGAGCTATTAAGTTGTTGTGCAACAAAGACATTACTGAAAGCAGGAGCTTGAGACACAGGTAGGCAAAGTTGTTTGGTTTTTTTTTAGGCCTTTTTGAACAGTGATGATGTTTGTGTAGAGTGGCTCTGGCATTGTGCTGTGCTTGGGGCTACTTGAGGAAGACAAGGCAGGTTGTCAGTTGAGCAGTCTGAAATGGGAGAAATAAAGAGCATCATCAGAAGTTGAATGAGAAAAGTAAAGGGTTGCTGCTCTGTGGAGCAGGATCCCCGTGGAGTAAATGCAGTACGTTTTCCCTGTGGATGGTGTACCTGGCCTTGCAGGAGGTTGTGATGTGTACCTTGGGCAAACATGAGCTTTGCAGGCTGCTTTTCTGTCTTCTCCTGGCCCACCACCTGCTATTCTGCCTTCCTCCAGTGTTCTGCTTCATTCTACGTCCTTCACGACAGCTGGTACCTGACACTCCCTTAGTTTATAAAACAAAATCTCTAGCCTGTACCTTCAGGTGCTGTGAAATGACAAAACACCAGAAAGATGCTAACAGACCATATATAACCTGCTACCCTGTGCACACGGTTGTTAATTGCACCATTGCCTCTCTCTTTCCTTGCTGTCCCATAAGTCTCTGCTTAGACAACACACCAGGTGTTAATGTTTAACCGTGTGTTTGTGAACCAAGCAAACCCTGCCTCGAGATGGTTCTTTTTCTTCATGTGCTGGTTTTCTTAATGTGCTCTCCCCTTATTACTGAATTATTGAATCCACAGTCCCTGAAGGCGTGCTGGTATCAAACTAAATCAGCTTTTGATTCTTCTCAGAGTAGCGTACATTGTAATCTTCCCCACATCCAGAAAGGTAGAGGCTTATGCTACATATGGAGCTCTGAGCTGTGGAATTTTGATTGGGGATTTTTTTTATTTTTATTTCTTGCATTGGGTATTGGCCTAATGGAGAAAGCTTAGCAAAATTAAGAGAATGACAGAACTTTAAAAGTGGGAAACTCAAAGCAAACTTAATGAATGGAGTTACCTAAAGTACAAAATATTCGTCAGAGGCAGGCATTACTACTGGGACTCTTCTACTGTTCACACATAACCCTTGAGCTAAAAGAATAAACTTTGCAAAACAAGTTAGACTGAAATCTTGTCTTGTATACATTTAATGTAATTCAGATCTGATTCAGTGTGGTGCAGAAAATGGCATGAGGGCAGAGCTCCAGGTACTCAGGATGTAAACAAAGCAACTCCTTTAGAATTAATTTTGTCTCTTTTAAGTAACAGTGTTTGGGAGCAGACCGAGCTACAAAAGATCCTCATAATCTTTCATAGAACAAGATAAAATGCTCTGAAAAACCAGTAGGCAGGCTAAGAGGAATCAGCTGAGTGGTCTGCTTGCTTCTTGATCACAGTATTTCCTCGATTTTGAATGTTGTGTTTCCAGACAGTTGTAACAGTTACAGGAAGCTTTTTATAAAAGGCATTAATATGTGGAGACTTCTTCCCAAGGCAAATTGTGGTTTCTGCCACTGCTTTGAGCATTATTATTTCTGGCTAATCTCGTTCTTCTGGTGCAAAGGATGGGAGGTTTTGCTGTTTGGAGAGATTTGGTGTACCTTTTTCAACCATGATTCTGGTCCTGCAAAACCAGAACAGCTGCTGATCCTCAGCATAAACAGGTCATTTGCCTACTGTTAGCACTAAATTGAAAACCAAGATTCTGAGCTTTTTCTTTTTTTTGGGGGGGGTCTGCTTCTTTCTCCTCCCGGCAGTGGTCTGAGGAGCTGTGTGAAGGGCAGACAGGTGTCCATGTGCTGTGAAGGAGGAGGTGGATTGTGGTGCTTGCTTAGGGGTTCTCTGCTGCTCTATCAAAGCCCTCCCCATCGTGCCTGCTTTCTGCAATTCAACTTCTATTTAATCTTACTGTTTCCTTGCAAGTACTTCCTTGATAGCTGTGGGAGTGCTCTGCTCTGGAGTTTTGTGTCTAAGCACAGCAGAGACAAGGAAAGCTGTGTGGCTCTCTTGCACTCTGAATGAAATATGTGCTTTTCCTTTAAAAAAAAAAAAAAAAAAAATTCAAGAGAATAAACTACAACTATACAATATACAACTATAAACTTACAAAGAATTAAACTTAAAAGGAAAAAATACAGATGGTTAATTATTAACCTGGGGAAAAACAAGCTGAAGAATCAGGTTGTGCTTTCTGTGGTTGTGAGATACATCAACTATAAATGTACAGTACTTAAATATGAAGAAACAGATCCGTGTATTTTCTATTAAAAAAAAAAAAAAAAACAAAACTAATAAATCATTTTTTCTTTCTTCAGTGAAATGGCCTTAGCTTTTATGACAGCAGCTGGGGCAGCTGGAACAAGGGAGATGAAACTTATGCTAAAAACAAAATGTCTCTACTTGTAATAAACAAATGTAACTTCTCTGGCTTGAGATAACCTTTAGAGCAAGTGCTTTCAGCATGAAGAGGTGGAGATTAAATCAATAAGCAATTAATAACATTAATCGCTGTTGACATTAAGGCAGATAAAGTATAGCATATTTGCTTCCTTTTTTCCTTTTTTTTAATAGCTTTTAATATTTTTGTCAACAGTCGACACATGTATTCAGGCTCTGGATGGATATCCATGGGATTTAGCTATGCACCTGCAATTATAAAGCAATTTCCAGTGTGGAAATGTGGATTCTCTTGCACAAGGGGCATACCAAAAGCACATTAGTTAATGACTGTAAATAGTCTACACTGCCTTGCTCCATATACTCTAAAGTGGGAGAGGACTGATTAAGGAAGTAAACTTACTACTTATTCTTAAATGACAAAGTAATTTGATTATACCTCTTATGCAACTAATTCTAAATAAATCTGAACATCCCCCCCCCAGATTAAAGTGTGAATGCAGCAGTACTGTGACTCTGTGACTTGTCCTTCACAATAGGCAGGTACAGACTGTAGCGTGTAAATTGGTTTGTTTTATGTGAATCATCTGACCCAGAAACTGCATTTCAAACTACACGTTATTTTTCCACTAATCTAAAATGTGATTTTAGCTTACGTAGGTGCAGCAGACACTGTTTAGATGAAAAATAGACTCTGGTAAAACGATCATGCTAATGTGTTTCTGCTTGCTTACATTAGTTGGAAAAATATTAGGTATGTAACTAGTGTAGCCCTTTTGTTTTTAAGGTCAGTTTAAATAGCGGGATGTGGATTTCCGTGTGGTCTAATGTGTCAGTGCTTTATATCCATTTGAGTTTCTTCTTGATGCACTAATGCAGCCATTTTTCTATGGCTTAGGACATTAGTACTTCATTTGACCAGATGCCATGATTTTCACATACCAGCTGATAGTTATTTGGCAAATAGCATTCCTTTTGTCCCTCTTTCTTCCACTGTTGATGGAGGGAAAGCTTATTAGAACTGACTGCTGTAAGCTGGTAACATGGTTCTTAAAACAAGGGATGACTAAAGGTTAGTTTTTCTATGCATATTCGTATTTAAGAAAGGACAACAGTACTAATTAAAACTTAAGCCAGAGATGCTTTTGATGAAAGTTAACTTTGAATCTCAGATTTATGGGCAATAGCTTGCTTCCTTTTCTGTAGACTTGTTTGTGTTGTTTGAAGTTACTTAGAAAAAAAATCTTATACTAGGCTTTACTGTTTGGA